AATAAATAAAGCTATACAAATTGGAAAGAAAGAAGTAAAATTGGCACTATCTGCAGATGACATACTATATATAGAAAACCCTAACCAAAAAACTATTAGAACTAATAAATGAATTCAGTAAAGTTGCAAGATACAAAGTTAATATTCAGAAATCTGTTGCATTTCTATGCATCAATAACAAACTATCTGAAAGAGAACACAAAACAAAATGCAACAATCCCATTTACAATTGCATCAAAAAATACCTAGGAATAAATTTAACCAAGGTTGTAAAAAACCTGTACTGTGAAAACTACAAGATGAAAGCTGATGAAAGAAATTAAAGACACAAATAAATGGAAGGATAAACAGTGCTCATGGATCAGAAGAATTATTACTGTGAAAATGTCCATACTACCCAGAGCAATCTACAGAGTCAATGCAATCCTACAAAAATACCAATGTCATTTTTCTCAGAACTGAAACAAACAACTCTAAAATTTATATGGAACCACAAAAGACTCTGAATAGTCAAATAAATGTTGAGAGAGAAAAAAATTGGAGGTACCACACTCCCTGATTTCAAACTATCCTACAAAGTTATAGTAATCAAAGTTATAGTAACAGTATGGTAATTGCACAAAAAACAGTCACATTCATCAACCGAATAGAATAGAAAATCCAGAAATAAATCCATGCTTATATGGTCAATTAATCTATGACAAAGCAGGCAAGAATACACAATGGGGAGAAGACATTCTCTTTAATAAATTTTGTTGGGAAAACAGATACATGCAAAAAATGAAACTAGACCACTTTCTCACACTATATAAAAAAAAAATCTAAAAATGGATGAAAGATTTAACTGGAAAACCTAAAACCATAAAACTCCTAGAAGAAAACATGCAGTAAACTCTTTGACATTGGTGTAAGCAATATTTTTTGGATATGTTTCCTTGGCCTAGATAACAAAAGCAAAAATAAACAAATGAGAATAGATAAACTAAAAAGTTTTTACACAGTGAAGGAAACTATCCACAGATGGAAAGGTAACCTAGTGAATGGAAGAAGGTATTTGTAAATTATACTAGGTGTACCAGTTAATAATGCGTATTTTTTTCAATAGATGGAGTTACGCATATGTTGATATATATGCAATTTGATATGTATGCTATTTTCTTGTATTGACAGCAAGCTTCCAAAACTTCATATGTCAAATTTGCTGAAGGTGTTAACATCATAGACATTTTTATGCTTAAAAATGTTGAATTTCGAGCCAAAAAAAGAGCATTTGAGGGAAGTTTTAATTCATTACTTTATTTTGAATAAAAGTGCTGCTGAAAGTTATCATATACTTTGGGAAGCTTATGGTGAACATGCTCTATCTCAAGATACTTGTGAACACTGGTTTAAACGAAGTGACGATTTTGATGTGAAAGACAAAGGACATCCAGGTCAACTGAAAAAGTTTGAAGACCAACAATTATAAGCATTATTGGATGAAGATGTGTGTCAAACTCAAAAATAACTTTCAGAAAGATTAAATGTTGCTCAGCAAACAATTTTAAAGGAAGGAAAATGGGTGCTACATCAACTGAACGAAAGACAAATGGAAAACCGAAAAGTCATTAGTACAATGTTGCTGCAGTGATGAGAAAGAAAGTCTTTTTTGCATTGAATAAAAACAGGTG